CCCATGCTTCGACAGAGGGAGTGACCAAGTACTTGAAACCTTCTGTTGCTGGATTCCTTATGCAGAAGGTATGCAGATAATTTAGATTTGCTTCATATTCGGTAATTTGACAGAAAAACTAGTCTCCATACAGCATGGTCCATTAATATATCCAGTACTGCAGGTGTCAACTGTTCATTGAATATTTATGAGAAATATTCTAAATCAAAATTTCAATCAATGGAGCTTGAGTTATTCAATGACTATAACTGCAGTTGATTTTCATCTGTATGATTGGACAAGCATTGTGTGTGTTTACTCTGAACTTTCCTGTTTCTCAGGAGCTTGACTATTTAGTCGGAGCTGTTTCCAACCCCAAGAAGCCCTTTGCTGCGATTGTTGGTGGCTCAAAGGTATCCAGTAAAATTGGTGTTATTGAGTCGCTGTTAGAGAAGGTAGACCTTCTCCTGCTGGGTGGAGGAATGATCTTTACTTTCTACAAAGCCCAAGGATATGGTGTCGGATCTTCACTTGTTGAGGAGGACAAGCTTGATCTTGCAACTTCACTAATGGAGAAGGCCAAGGCTAAGGGGGTATCTTTATTGTTACCTTCTGATGTGGTTGCTGCTGACAAATTCGCTGCTGATGCTAACAGCAAGGTAGGAAGTGAATAAAGAAAAAGAATGCAGTACCTAATATTCTAATTCAAGTTACTAGAATACACGCCGATTGACATGATCTCTCAATGTTTTGGCAGATTGTTCCAGCATCTGGAATCCCTGATGGCTGGATGGGATTAGATATTGGACCTGACTCTATCAAATCATTTAATGAAGCCTTGGATACTACCAAAACCATAATTTGGAATGGACCAATGGGTGTGTTTGAGTTTGATAAGTTCGCAGCTGGAACTGAGGTACTTGATGATAGAACATATATTGCATTATCCAAGAGACTTAACTTATTTAGCTTCATGAACGAATTGCTCGGATATTTTAAATTGAGCATGCAAGTTCATTATTTCAGGCCATAGCCAAGAAATTGGCTGAACTCAGTGGCAAGGGGTTGACAACAATCATTGGAGGAGGTGACTCTGTCGCTGCTGTTGAAAAGGTTGGGGTGGCGGACAAGATGAGTCACATCTCAACCGGAGGTGGTGCCAGCTTGGAACTTCTCGAGGGGAAACAGCTACCTGGAGTTCTTGCCCTCGATGATGCTTAGGCAGATTCATCTTGCTTTTTTCCAACTCATCCACTGTCGGCCCGGGCTTTTACCAGAGTGGATGCAGATAAATGTTCGAACTGTTCTTGTAGAATTGTAGATGAAATTTGAATAATTAGAACCGTGCCCATCACCCTGTGATTGGGGGCAAATAACAGTTTTTCCGGCTTTGAACAATGATATGATGGTTTTTGTGAGTGATGAATCTATGGGTTTTTCTCTCGTATAAAATTGTAGGCATCTTGACCCCTAAAGACGTGTTTGATAAGGTAGATTGCAAAGTAGTCGATCCTGCATGAAAGAAAAAAGCTTTTTATTTTTTTATTTTTGCCTTTTCAGTTCAGTTGGAATCTGAATGTTAAAACATTCAGATGCTCGTCTTCGATTGAAATAGCAGGTAGGTACGAGTAGTTTTCCTTTTATAGGAGATAATAGGTATTGCGGATTATATTATTGAGTAATGCTATTTATAGTCAACGATTGAAGTAGTTATTTATTTATATGTAATATTTTGTTATNAAGTAGTTATTTATTTATATGTAATATTTTGTTATTTGAAGCAACAAAATTACATGAAATTAATATTTTAAATAACAAGTTTCCACATAAGATGACTATGTATAGCATTATTCATATTATTCCCCTAAGTTTTAGGGCACAAGGTCTTGTATTATTCTCTTCAAGTTCAAGCAAAAGATGAATAAGTAGGTGAAGTAATAGCTTACCAAGGTAATGATCAATAGCTATTTCGGGAGGATGTTTAGCAATATTGGGTTTGAGACACAGTCCAGACTCTAGCGGCAATGGAGAGTTTTCTATAGTTAATTTTACAGATATAATAATTATTCCGATGCTTAACTGTCGCTCAATAACCAATAATATGGAAGGTTTAGATTTCTCAAACAAATATACTCATTTCCTTTTCTTTTTATTTTTGTTTATTTTTAATAAGATCAATTCATGTTCGTATGAAAAAGAAAATCAAATTATTAGGACATAGAAGTTCCACTGTGTCTAAATTTTTTTGGGTTGATAATTCTTCAAGTTCATTGAAAATCAAACAATGTACTGATTCGAGATCTGGGGATAGCGCATTGAGCTAAGCAGCAGAAATGAGGCCTAACGCGCCGACGTTTGTCCGCTGACTCCTCTATTTATAGATTGATATTCTACGATGGACGAAAGAAAGCCGCGAGCTCTAATAGCCGAGCCCTATAAGAGCTAAGCTCCTCTTTTGGCTTAAGAAAGATGATCGTAAAAACGAGATTTTTCATCATCCAGGCCAGACCAAGTGACATACTTCGGATGAGTGTTCGATCCTAATGTATGGAGAAGATCCAGATTCAGATGAAGTCGCAGGCCATATTGGAATGAAAGGTAAGCCGATGGCTTCACTTGGACCAAAACTGCAATTTTTTTGTTTTTTTTCTCTTTAAATTTTTCATCTCAAACAATAAAAAGTTAACAAAAGTTAACAGGAGGATTGGAAAGGACCCTAACAATAGTTGTAGGGGTCAAATTAAATTGTTTCATAGTTTAAGGGCTCTAAATAATAAATAACCAATATTAGTCCGTTCTCATCTTCTCCAGCTGCCTGTGCTTCTTCCACAAATCTGTAATGGCTTCTGTGCGATTATTCCCTAATTCATCCATGTTATTCTCTCAGAAAATTATGCATTTTCAAACCAATTTCAAATTCTTCGTCCCCGCACCACCATTTTTGCTATCGAAGCTACAGTCAATCCCTCGAAAAGCATCAATCTTTACACATTCAAAAGCAGAAAACGACGTCGTTACTTCTGCGCCTGAAAATCCCTCTTCCAATTCAATTTACAGTAACTCCCCGTTTTCAGGTTCGTTCTTTTTATTAGAGGTTAACCGAGCAAATTGCTAAATTAATGCTATTTAATTTGCTGAATCTGAGCTTAGTTACTGAATTAAAATATGTGATTGTGAAGGGTTAGAGGATGTGATAACGGGATATATATTTGGCAAAAAGAAGGCCACTGAAGTAGCTCACTCGTAGGTACTTATCACTTACCAATAAGAAAGTCATTCTTTTTATTTCTGCAAGTTTGATCAATTTATTAATATGTACGGTTTATGGTTGTGAATTGAATGATTTCTTTGATATTAGAGTCTGGAAGAATGTTATCCGGAAAGGGGATGTTCTTGTTGATGCCACTTGTGGAAATGGATATGATACCTTGGCAATGCTAAGATTGGTTGCTGATGCAACACGTAAGGGCCGTGTTTATGCAATGGATTTACAAAAAGTTGCCTTGGAGAATACTTATTCTTTGCTGGATCGATCTGTTGATTCAGATGAGGTGCTTCCTTTTCGTATCTGATTTTTTGAATTTCTAGTCATCCATTACGTGATGTTCGTGATTTTACCAATTTTCACCAATAAGAATTGAATCCTGGATGCGTAAAATATTTGACGCATTTATAATACAAGCACAAACTGCTAAGAGAGAATATGAGTCTGACCTTTGTTTATCTCGTCTTTTTAGACTACATTAGTGTAGGATGCATCTGTATGTGCTTGTATAATGCAACTCCCGGGTACACATAGGCGATGTACACATTGTTGTATGTCTCATGCAGGCATTGTGTGTTAAATGTTATCCTTCTGCTTTTCTGCATAAATGAATTACTCATGGCAACCTGCTCAAAGAAGCTAGGGACTATACATTGTAATAATTGTGTTGTTCAAATTATCTAAGGGTCCGTTTGATTGCAAGAGTTGAATTTGGATGGAAAGAAAATGAATTTCAGGGAAATGAATTGCCTCGAATTGTTTTCCTGGGAATTGTCAATTAGAGTGTGTTTGGTGCATATTAAAATGAGAGAATGCATTTTTTGAAGTGATGTGATGTGGAATATGTGGTTGAAAAGGAAAGAAAAGTTATTAATGTGATGAAAAATATTATTTTATTGAAAAATGTGTGGTTGAAAATAAGTAGAATAATGAGAATGAAAAAAATAATGTGGCTCAAACAAGGGGTTAATTGTGTTTAATCGGTATAATTTTTCACTAGGAAAATGTAGAAATTTTGGATCTTTTGGTATTCCTTTGGCTTTGTTTTTTATGGAAATTGTCCATTAAAGGAAATTTTTTTTTACAATTGTCTATAAAATTTGTTTTCATTGCCACACAAAAAAAAAAAAAAATGGTAACCCACAAAAACCAAGGAGTAAGTCAAACCAAGAAAATGATTTCCATGACAAATTTTGGTTATCAAACAATACTTTTTGGGGAAGATGAAATTTTATTTCCAATTTCCATGGAAAATCCTCCAAATCAAACAGGCCCTAAATGTAGTGGATTGGGAATTGGGCTTAATTTGGCCAAAACATTGGATGGTTACCCGAGGCTAAAAGACTACCATGCGATCGCATGGATTATGCCTTTGCGATCACATGGGTAGAGAAAATAGCCGTTAAGCTGGTTTTCAAATTGAAATCTGGTGACTTTTGGCTGGAAAGTTCCATCTTTTCAGAGAGAGTTGGATCTATTTCGTCGTGTATCACTTGAATACTATAAATACGTTTAGTATTCCATTCCAAACAATCGATTAACATAAAGAAATCCATTCTTGTTATACCACATCATCAAATCATCTTCAAACACTTTCAAAGTTTTCAAATTCTTCGTATTGAAGAAACACTTGTTCTTTGGCCTTCTTCATAAGACTTCTTTAATCTTTCTAACTATTTGCCAGAAATCCTCAAAAGCATTTGCAGAGGAGACAAATATCGTTTGAGGACAACTTTTGATCACTTGTTCAAGTCTTGCTATTCTATTCCTAGTTTTGGTGTTTCTATCTTCATCCATTTTCTCTCCATTGTTGTATTATTTCCAAGATAAATCAGAAGCTTGATAAATCAGACATGCCTATGATGAAACAGCCATGAGCAAATATATTAGCTAATATAAACTAGTGTTTCTACTAAACTAACTAAAAAATGAAGAAAGATTACTATTAATTGGACATTTTATTTAACAAATATGAATTTGAATTACGCGGTAAAGAAAATACCGAATTTGAGCAGCTACGAACTTCCTTTCCTTGTATATTATGCAAATCACTTGTAAAATAACATTATTCCAAATGTCTCTAAGTCTGAGCAGCAATCATTTCTAACAGTTAAGGAGCTACATATTTCTTACTTTATACAATCATCATGTATGAAATTTCAGTTTCTCAGAACCTTTTCTTGGTCATATCTCATTCTCTGGAAACATAATTTCATATGTGATATTCAATGAAGAAATGTCTTTTTTACTGTTGCAATGCAGAGAGAACTGGTAGAGCTTTATGCCATTTGTCATACTAAAATGGAGGAAATTGTTCCCAGTGGTGCTTCTGTGAGGTATCGTTGCAATTATGAAACTTTTGTTGGAGACCCTAGTATTTAAAGTCTAGAACACATTTCACTGTTATGCTAATCACATTCTAACTCATTTCTTCACCATTGTTTTAAGATTAGTTGCATTCAACTTGGGTTACCTTCCAGGAGGTGACAAGAAAATCATAACTCAGTCAGAGACAACAGTAAATGCACTTAAGGCTGCCAAAAGAATATTGGCACCTGGAGGACTCATCAGCATAGTGGTCTATGTGGGCCATGCTGGTGGAAGGTAATATACTTAGACATTCCATTTTAGTTTCTTGTTGCGTGTTTTTGCCCTTTTCTTCCATTAAGTGGTTGGCAAAGGGGCATATATCATTCGTAGAGTGAACTCTGGCCTTCTTCTCTCTCTTCCCTTGCATACAGAGACATAAATGCACAGATGCTTCTATAAACACTGCCTTGTTGACATTTGGTTAACTAAGATGGATTAGATGTTACCTTTGAATAAATGTGTTTTATTGAAGAAAAAATAATTGAAGATTGGACTGTGAGCTTGAATGCATTGTTCTTTACACTCCTTTGATCATTTCAATAAAATATCTACGGACCCAAAAAAAAAAGGGTTAGATTGGTGCTTTCTTGTCAGTGATTTAGGACAGTCTTCTAGTTATTTATGCAGAATTTGACCATAGATCTTGAAAAATCTTTGGCCCTCGGTTAACACTTTGATACTTGTTTTCATCCTTGTAGGGACGAGTTTGAAAAAGTCCAAGCTTTTGCTTCTGAATTACCTGTTGACAATTGGGTCTGCTGCAAACTCCAAATGTTAAACCGGCCATTAGCTCCGGTACTAGTGCTTCTATCTAAGAAATGAGCATGTAATGTTACGTTGCTATATGGAAAACTTGAAAAAGTTTATTTGGTAATGTTAACCAAATTTTATGTGGTAGCTTTATGTTGAAATTCTTTAGGTGCCTTGAACTTCCTTGAAATGAGAAAACTCCACACCTCAGCTACCGCATTTATGGTTGTTTAACTATGCATGCAGTCTGTTCCTCGTCATCTGTGTGGACCCATCATTGGCCTTAGAAATCAATTTTAATACGAGATTTCATTATTTGTTCTTGTATTAGTCTTATGAATATAATCAATGTTTTGCTTGCCATGAAAGTTCTTTATTTTTCCCTTTCTGTGCAAATGCGAAAGAAAAATAGAGTATATTTTCCAAATCAAGTTTCTGTTGTGTTTCCCAAGGATTACTTGTACAAAATACGCCATTCCTGTTAGAGAAATGATTAGGAACACGTCAGAAAACTTTCACCCCCACAGTTGATTTAAGAGGATACAAAATAAAGTTCTCCTATAATTAGCAGGCGTACCAGCCACAAGTTTATGTCTGAATTCTGAACCTGGAAATAGAACAACAAAGCAGAAAAGTAGAACCAATTCTTCGAGGCAATTGTCATCAAAACATTATTATCTAAGCAACCAACTCAAGAAACATCAGAAGTATTCACGGTCTTGTATCGCTTCTTTTTGTAAATTCCATTCTCAACTGTGATGACAACCTTGCCAGGTTCGTTGTTTCTAAATGAATTGCGAAGGGAATCTTCTTGCCAAGTTATCTTTTTTCCCTTCTTCACGATTACGGTATAAGACCTTTCATCTGTTGGAACAATCTCCTCTTTGTAATTCACATCCCAACCTACTATAGTCAGGTCCCACATCAATGTATTTCCAACCTGTTTAGAGAAAAATTGGTGATGATTAAACTATGCCACAAATAATGTGACAAAGATGATCCCTGAAGACGAGGTTATTAGGAATAAGGTTTAGTTTGTTTGTTATAAGAAGAAAACTATAAAGAATAAAATGAAACAAGTAGTATATGCTACATAGCAGTTGATTTACCTCTGGTGCAGGAATCTCAATAGTTTCAGTTACTCCAGGCTTGACGGTGATCTCAGAAGCAGCATCTTCGATCGAAAAATCAGGATCGTTCTCTTTTCTGAGACCTCCATGGTGAACAGGAATTTCCTCCACACTAATATACCTACAATCAAGCGTCATATTATCAGTTTTTGAAGCCTCCACTGAAACAACTGAGGAAGAAAAAAGAACTTTGCTTACTTGAGAAGTGTTTCAGTAACCCTGGCAGGACGACTAAAGACGAACTTGCTCTTGGTCCTTTGTGTTAAGAAAGGCGATAAGAGCGCATTGAAGGCATAATACCAGGAAGGTACATTGATAAAGATCTACACAGAACATATGAACCCATCGATAAAGGTAACTAGAACATTAGAATTTCCTTCGGAACAGAGATTATATGAAGATAAGAAATTAGAAGAATACACAAGGATAGCAAAAGAAAGAATAATGCTATCTAACATCAAGGGTGCTATAGCATCATTTTATGTGTTCAATTAAAGATGAAATTATGTGATTCATTTAGTTGAACCTGTAATTTAATACCATTAATGTTGCCACCTAGACTGGTATTAAACACTAGTCGTGCTAAATAACATTATTCCAAAAGAAATGCTTACATTTCTTGCAACAAATTCAGGATAATTATCCTGCAGAATCCCCACACCCTTTTTGGTGGCAAGCCAGAGATCCTTCCTTGAAGGTCCTGCGGTGTTCTTGAGATCATTAATTTGGAGCAATGAGGAGATGCCACTGGGCTTGAAATCAAGCTTCTGAAGCTGCTGCTCCATTAATTGAAACCTCCATCTCAGGAATCTCCCACGGGTGGCTTCCGTTCCAGTGGTCATGTCGTATACTTCATCATTTGCAAGTACACCATAAACATTGTAGCATACCATATGGCCTTCGCGATCCAGTCCCCTCGTGTAGGCCATCTTATCATAACCATTCCCAAAATCTTCCTCCATGATTGAATCAATCTTATTTTCCTTCCTCCATTTGAGAGTGTTCTTCAACATCTCAAAGGCATCATTGACCTTAAACTCTCTCTGTCAAAAATTTCAAGAGCAAAATATCTAAGCCCTCTTCTCCCTTGCTTGGCAATAAGGGTACACCCCACGGAAATATTTTGATCAATTTCAACCTCTTTTTCCACTTTTTTAACTTCGTCATATTTTTCTTCTTCGTCCTCCACTTTAGATTTCCCCTTGTCAACAACATTTCTTCCTTCGGCATTAGATTTCTCTTCTGTTACCTTTGTTATTTCTGGAGTATCTCCTTTCGAACAATCTGACAGAATTACCTTAATAAATTTGCACAGCGTAACGGTATGATCAACAGAATCTGAAAATTAATTCGAGCCCACCGACTTCACGTGTTTCCTTAAAACGAATTTGCTGCCTTCAAAAGGTGCTTAAGGCGTCCAGCAATCGTTTCCCAGGATAGAACGAATTTCGTCTCCTACGGAAGCAGCACAGCAATCTGCAGGAGTTCCAGCGAACTCAATGAAGTGTTTTTTATTTCGAAAATAATATCAGAACGAGATAGAGAGAGGGAGAATGAGATTCAATGCAGAGAATAATAGCAATGAAAA